CTTCGCTACGCAACCCAAGGTCAAACTGATGTGATCAGTAAATACATCTTTTTAAACGCCACAACTTTTGTCTGAAACATTTTTTTGTAAAACTTATATTTTTCCTGATATTCGGGCGTCCCGGTACTTTCCGAACACCCTGTATAGTCTTCCCCTTTGTTCGAAAAGTGACTAACCGGTGAGTAACTCGATGCTAGTTCCGTTTACAGACATTTTGATTAAATTCGAACGTAAAAATATATATCGTGAGAATCCCACGTCTACATACAAGCGCGTGGCTTCGCACAAAAGTTCTTACCTGATATTCCCGAAGAAAATTCTAGCGGCAAGCGTCTTCAGCGTTATCCCCGGTATTGTCGTTGTCGCGCTCCACTCCGTCGTCATTATCTTCGCCCCCGTTACCACTGCCTTCGTCGACATTGACGCCGTTGCCGAAGTCATTGGCGATGGAGATGTTGCCATCATCATCGTCGTCGTCGTCGTCGTCCACACCATTGTCGGCGGCTACCGTCTTGGTAGCGCGGGTATCATTCCCACTGTTTTCTGAAAGTAAAATTATACTTATATCGCATGAAATCGATTTTAATATGATACTTTTATTATTTTATAAATATTTATGCTGCCTTATCTGTGGGTAAGTTCAACAACGGCGGTCTCGTTAGCAACTGTTTTCATGCTACAAATACTGTCACAATCCGAAAGGTCGGTTTCCAATGCCGGAGCATTATTAGAGCCTAAAATTTATTCTAGCGTTAGATAATTTACTCGATAAAGCACTTTAAATCCGGTATACGAGTTGTACTTACACGAATTTGCCTGATTCGGTTAAGGCGGTTCCTCCGCGACGCGTTTACGATCCCGCGGAAGAAGTTCGAGTGCCGCCCCGTCGCTGGTACCGGCGGTTACGGAAGACGGGCTTATGAAACAATAAAACAATAATTATTCTTAAAATTCGTGTAAATCATAAAGTTTTACTTTTCAGAATAAAATTATGATATAATAACTTATCCATAGGATATCATGTCGGTGATAATCCCCTACACGATCCTCGATATCCTCGATATCCTCGATATCCTCCTCAAAATCCTGCCGAAATATTAGAATTTCTCTGATTATTTTTATTAATTCCGGATCACTCCGAAATTTATCGCACTTTCATAAAAGCGTCAGCAGCGTGCTGCTACAAGCGCATGCAAATGTATAAAATACGATATAGTTTTCTGCGTCATTGGCAGAAATACGCGCCAAATATCGTGCGATATCGATATTTGCACCAGCGTAAGAAGCCGTAACAATAAATTCGCGCACTAATACACCCACTCGCGACATTATAACACGTCTCACGGCGGAAAACTAACGAAGGGAAATGCGAAAATGGAGTTTTCTCCTCGCATACCCCGCAAAACTTTACTCCTCTCTCCTAGGACAAAACGTTTCTCCAAAAAAAGAAGAACAAGTTTTTAAAATTATTAGACTTTATCGTCAAAAACTGTCACGCACAATGACAGTGTCACGGGGCAAGGTTCATGCGTTTTTAAAATTGTTTTTTTTTACCGGGCGAGCGAGAAACCGTTCCCATTCTCTGACAAATGAACGATACGATCAGTATCTAGCGACACACTTCTTCTAGAAAAATCATTCTCTTTGTCAAAAGCTGATTCTAACCATACCTTCGTCGGTAATCTTCGACTTGGCACGAGAAGACATGAGGTGAAATACCGCTAGCTATTTTTTGCTTGTAGCGACTATAACAATAAGCAGCTATTACAACAGACAGTTAATTCGCAACATATTCAAAATACGACGGTTTATGACACCATTCCTTTTTATATGCGCTTAAATGTTGCACTCACGCTTGCACTCGCGATCGTGCACGGGAGGAATAAATGTAACACACAATTATAAAGAACGAGAAGCTTTAATGTAACAGCGAAACGCGTCTTTACAGACTCAGAATTAATACCGTCGAAAACCGTCGACCGCTCGCGACTATGTCTCGCTGTCAACTCTCTCTAACAGCCGCTGTTACTCTCCGTTGTTAACCGAAGCTCTAATTTAAATCTAATTTTTTCCGAAGATGATTACAATAACTATCTGCTGAAACTACATCGGAAGGAGGAATTCCGCAAAGCAAATCTAAAGGCAACCTAAGATCTCGTCCGAAATACATCTCAGTAGATGAAATCCCGGTAGATTTATGTTTTGATGAGCGGTACGCCAGAAGATACAGTGGAACCCACTGATCCCAGTCCTTATGATTTTCCGCTACAAATTTAGATAAATAACTGACAATGGTATAATGTTGTCGTTCAACTTGATCATCAGACTGTGGATATAATGTAGTAGTATGCGTCTTCTTAATTCCTAATAATTTTGTCGTGCAATAAACGAGATTCAAAACTTCTACCCTGACCCGTATAAAGTTCCAGGGGAACCTCATGCCTAGAAATAAATTGCTTTACAAATATATCCGCTATTGTAGTGGTTCTCATATTTTTTATTAGAAAAGTTTCCACTCATTTAGAAAAAAAGTCTACCATCACCAATAAATATTTGTTTTCTGAAGAAGATATAGATAATTGATAGAGGCTCGAGAATATCCATTTGGAGTACTCAAATGATACTTCCACATTATAAATTTGTAAAGATTTTCCCTGATCTATACTGGTCCTTTTTTTGCAGACCCTACATGATTTATACCAATTTTCTATATCTTTCCTGCACGACGCCCAATAAAATCTTTTCCGAATTTTATCCAAAGTTTTGTTTATTCCAAAATGTTCACCAGACAAAGAATCATGTGCCTCCTCAAGCACATCCTTAAACCTATTACGTGGGACAATTATCTGGAAAATTCGTGAATTTAAATTAGGACTTTCCCATTTCTTATAAAGAATGCCATTTTTCAACTCCAATAAATCCCAATAAAGACCAATAAATTTTAGCAGAGACATTAAAAGGAGCAATAGTTTGCCAAGAAGATCGTTCTCATTGTTCTTTTCCACGTATTAGAAAAGAAATTGAAGGATCTTTTAACTGTTCTTTTCTCCAATCAACAGAATTCTCTTCTCCTAAGGCTATTCGCCCTATGATCGTTTGATTAGAAATTCCTCTCAATTCTTGTCTCATACAATGTTTACAGAGATTTACATACAATCTCTTCACAAGGTCGACGAGAAAGTCCGTCAGCATTTTTATTAGCATTTCCCTTTTGGTATACAATCTCAAAATTATATTGTTGCAGCCTTTCAACCCAATGGGCTAGTTGATTCCAAATTCTTAAATGATAACAACCATTTTAAAGATTGATGATCAGTTCGAACGACAAATTTTTGTTCATATAAATAATGATAAAATGATTTCAATGAATCTACAATAGATAGTAACTCTCGTCGTGTAACACAATAATTACGTTCAGCCTTATTTAACACTCAACTAAAGTAAGCAATAACTCTTTCGCTCCTATGCTGAACCTGAGACAAAACAGCACCGATTCCATGGCCAGAGGCATCAGTATCCAAAATAAGTACCATATGTTCCAAAGGAAATGATAAAATAGGAAGAGTAGTTAATTGCTGTTTAAGATGGACGAAAGCTTGCTGACATTGTTCAGTCCATACGAATTTAACGGAGTTACCCGTGAGAGCATATAAAGGCTTAGCAATTAATGAGAACCCTTTGACAATTCTTCGATAATAAGAACAAAAACCAAGAAAACTTCTGACTTTTCTTCTGGACGTAGGAAGAGGCCAATCTATTACCGCGAAGATTTTTAAAGGATCCGTAGTTATCCTCTCGGCAAAGATCACATGCCCAAGATAAGTTACACTTTTACTCAAAATGCACTTCTTTGGATTAATCTTCAAATTAGTTTCATGCAATCTGGAAAATATCTCACGAAGATTCTCCATCATTCCCTAAAATGTTGGACTAAAAACAATCACGTCGTCTAATAACAAGTCGTAAATAAACAAGACAGATTTTAAACAAAAGCTCTTGCAAAACTCTCTCCATCAAACGTTCAAAAGTAGCCAGAGCATTACATAATCCAAACGGCATAACAGTAAATTGCCATAATCCATTTCCGAGTAAAAAAGCTGTCTTTTTCTTATCTTCGTCCCGAAGTTTTACTTGCCAGTAACCGTTTTTTAAATCAATAGTTGAAAACCACTTATTTCTCGACAGTCGGTCAAGCAAATCATCCATTCTTGATAATGGATAGAAATCTTTAACGATCACAGTATTAAGATACCGAAAATCTATACAAAATCTACTTGACCCATCTTTTTTCTTAGTCAAAATCACTGGTGAAACCCAAGGACTATGTGACTCTTCTATTACTCCTTTATTTCGCATCTCCTCAGTTAATCGCTCTGCTTCAGAGCGTAGTTTTATTGGGACCCGACGAAGTTTTTGTTTAATTGGTCGTTCATTTAATAATTTAATCTTGTGTTTTACTATTTTACAATTTCCAGCAGTGACATCTTCCGAAAACATATCCTTGAAATCTAAAATAAATTTAATTAAATCTTTTTTTTTTATCAACATCTAATTCCTTTGAGCTTTGAGAAACAAAAGATTGTAATGCTTCCGGTACTCGTATTTCTTTATTATCAATGCACGCACAAATATCTGATTTCCTGTTCAAGGGCAAAATTCCCAATGCGGCACATAGTTCAGATTCAACATTAGTTTGGGCCAAGAAATCCGCTCCTAAAGGACAATCGTCCTGTCGACAACTCAGCAACTAACATTGGTATTTTTAAAGAAAATTTTCCTAACTTAACGTCTACAACTACTTTAGAACGGATTGGAACTATCTCCTCTGTCGGATAAACCAGATTCTGAAATTTTTTTCTGTCAACTATCTCACAATCCTTTACCAATCTTTCACTAACGATTGACACATACGAGCCCGTATCTATTCTATATGTATAATTCTGACCATTCAATCTTCCAACATATGAAAATTTATAGGAAGGAGTACAAAGGCACCTTACACTATACTTATTGCTATTGTTCAGGGTCATACTAGCATTTGCCGAATCGACCCCGAATAACGGCAAATCCTAGTTTGTCTGACTATTAATACGCAATGCCGGACATTCCCGGAAGTACCCCGTTTTTCCGCATTGCCAGCATTCTCTATTTTGAATATTTACGCTTGCATCATTCGGTCTTTGTTCAACTTTCCGACCATAAGCACGATCTCTTTCCAAATTCCGAAAATCTTTTTTATTTTTCAATCGAACCATCAGATGTGTTTCCCAAGAAGACTCAAATTTCGAATCATAATTTCTCAAATTATTGTTCCTCTATGGAAAACTATTTCTTTTAATTGCATTTATTGTCATTGCTCATTCTATTGCAGCACAAAGTGAGATTACATTTTCCAATTGTAATGTTTGTTTAGTAAAACTATTAGAAATCACATTAATGAACTGCGCACAAGAAATTTTATCCCGTACTCCCGTATTATATTCAGGATAAGTCAAACGGGCCAATCTTTCAAGATCTTCCTCCAACGACGCAAAATCTTCATT